TAAATTAATATAAAAAATAAAAAATCCACAGCCACCGGCGCCCATCCACCCACCCTCCCACTCACTGCCTCTCCAGAGACTTTCCTATTATTCCCGAATCTGGGAGCTTTCTTCGCCCCAGGGAGCGATTAACAGTGCAGCTCCATGCCGTTTATGTGCGTTTTTCTCTCCCTCTCCCACTTGACGGTAATTGAAATTCAACAAGTCAAATTTTTATTTATAAATCGCTGCTTTGAACAAAAACATGTTTTGTCACAGAAGTGCCTGGCGGAGCGGCGGCGGACCTAATTACAGATACAGGTGGGAGATAAGAGCGGGAGCAAACACTTGACAGGTTGTGACGGGAATAGGAAGAAGGTTTGGTTGCAGTAGTGGATCATTTGTACTTCTGGATGCTAAAACATCTCTAAATCTTCTTTTTTGTGCATATTTCATGAGCAAAGGAGGCTTTTTGCTTTTTACCTGCATGGGCAACATCAGATCACCATTCGCCCTACCAGGATTACCTGCTTTCCCCATAGGGCGCTATAAGCTAAGCGCACTGAATATCTGTATGTAGGTGTGCTTCAGGACTCTTATTAAACTGTGAAGTTGGTCTGAGATTGGCATAAAGTACTCTGAAGTTATGACAACTTTCTCGTTTCATGGCGAAATGCTCACATATCAACTCCACGCCCCACGGATATGCCGTTCGACCGCACAGCCCGCAAACCAGCACACAATTTTAATCATTAAGGTCTTTAGACTGACTGACCCAATTTGCAACGTTGATCCAATAAATTCCCGCAGGAGGATTCATTAAAATATGACCACGAAATTCTGCAATTCTAAATTCTGGTCGACTTCCTTTTGGGCTTCAGTTTGTTGCCTACCAGCCCTGAGTTTTGCCACGCCCCGTGCTGCAGGTAACCATAAATTGTAAGTTTTTGCGACCGCCGCCAGTTTCGTGCGCCCACGTTTCATTACTTTTTGAAACATGTTGCGCGCCTTTAAAACTGCGCATTCGCGTTGGGGCATAAAACAACCCAGAGCCCAATAAAAGGTGACAATAGTCACAGGCCTCACCCCCCAATAGGAGGAACTGCGGCTCCGAGTGTCCCATCCTCGCTTGCCGTGCCGACAGCCGCGTACACGACAGAGCCGGGTGCAGCGTCAGGACCCGCCGGCGCCCAGGCTAAGGCGAGGGAACATTGCCCACTGCCACGGTCCGCCTGGCTGGGCCATGCTCAGCAGTCCAACCCTGCACAGGTACCACCATCACCTGGAGGGAGGAGGAGAGACCAAAGATCTATTTATTCGTAGAAAACTGCAGATTTTTCAGCCGCTAGTGAGATTTATGATAAACTGCCGCTACCGGTTACTGTAGCTTGTAATTTCACCAACACCACAAACAAAAACAAAACAATAAAGTTACAGCCTAATAGACACTGAGTCTGTTGGTTTGTACAATCTGCAGCTGATGTATTTGTTGCATTTCTTCTTCTTCCTGTGAGCGTTATATGGTGATTTGAAAATATAAATGTGGTTTATCAACTTTATAATCATTTTTCAGAGCTAAAACAGACCATAAAGCAGGGCTATGCCTTTAGGGCCCGGGGCCTCCTTGTGATTGACAGCTCATTCTCCCAGTGAGCCTCCGTCCAGCTCAACCGCAACAAACTCAGCATCAAGCCTGTCAAACGTGCTGATCACGATCCTGCGATCCAGACCTCTGTTCTTGACTATTTCTCCCTCATCTGCTCACAAACCAGCATCCTGCTGTGACCAGCGCCGAGTTTTATCGCCAAAACCCGAACGGAGCGCTTCAGACTTCTCCCACCAAACCAATGGGTGACGTCTCCGAAAGGCTTCACACTTGGCTGGCACCAGCTGGTTCTTTGGCCGTCAAGATCCAAAACACTGGTTTACATTCGCCCTCACTGCCTTTGTGGACTAACTGTCGCTGCTTCTTGTTAGTGGTGCACCGGTGCCTACGGTGGTTTCGCACTTGCTTTGATGAATGACTAAAAGAAACTAAATACCATATTCACTGCTGCCAATCTATTGCCCGCCCATAGTGCACCTAAGCA